GGATGTCCTCTTCTATTTTCATAGGTGGTGACGTCTTAGGCAGGGGGCGAACAATCGCTGACTTGAGAAGGGGAGGGAGGTACCCCTCGCTTAATGACGAGTTGTAAATGTCGGCAATAGCGGGAGCCAATTCAAAAGCGAAGGTCTTAAGAATAGAGATATCAAATTTTTTTAAATCATTTCAAAAATTAGAAAACAAACCTATTGTTTCTTTGATCAAATAATAATTTCTTGTCATATCAGGGGGCATTCTGAGGTGAGGCATATTTAAATAGAATCTAAAAAATTAATGGAGAGTGACACCTCTAAATAATTCCCACGGATCTAAAGGGCTGTTTACTCATTCAAATGGTGCAATTTATTGTCAATACCGGGTGCTTCGTACATTATGTGTTGGGTAGAGTTATTTATATATGTAGAAAATATAAAAATGCCTTAGCGTTGAAAGATACACATCTAAAGAATCGAGCTTTATTTGTAACTGGTAATCAGTTTGGGGTACAATCATTCAACTTTCTAGTTGATTGACAATCCGCATAAATGACTGGTGCGGATCATCAAAGAAGAAATAATTCACAGACAGTACTCTTTATTCATGCTCAAGTACATTTTGTATGAAACAATTTAATGATTCATTTGGTTGTCTAAATATTGTAGAACACCTGGGGTTGGCTATTTTTTCCTCTCTTTCCTGTGTAAACAATATACGGCAACATTTTCGGCAACACAGAAACTCATTTACACACCTTAGATGAAATCTCTTTAGCAATAAACGCGAGCTTTTAGCGTTCAATACCCACTACACTCTTTGATTTTTTGTCTATGAATTATTCTAGCGACTATGCTGTCTTACGATTCCATAGACACGTTAGCCCATGTTGTTTGTGTAAACTAACGTCAGAAAAATACTTCAGGTAAACTGAAGTACATTCCAGGGATGCTACGGTCAGGTGTTCTGCTTGACCCATTTTCAGGTCGCGAATTTTTGGACTGTCCATTCCCAACTTAGCGGTGTAAATCAAAAGTCTCTGTAACCGCTACCTCTCTTATGGTTATTCTTATTCAATGATTCGCAGATTGTGAAAAACGTCGTCACGTGATCATCAGACAACAGTGATTGACAATTCGAAGAAGGATTTAAAGAAGGAAAATGCTTAAGTGAGGCCAAAGAGCACTAACATGGCCCTCACTGTGGTTTTCGCTTTGTGCGTCATTTTCATCTCTTGCAATCACTGCCAAGCCGAACTAGAGAATCAAAGTTACGATCAGTGCAATCTATTGCTGGTGGAAAAACGCTTTAATTTGTTCCTGAATTCCGTCTCAATGCTTCTGAGGAAGGCGTGAGAATGATCTACTTGAATTTGAAGATTGGGAACGAAAGTTACCATTCATTGGAGTCACCAAGACTGTTTCTCCCAGAGAAATGGGTCTGGGTGCATTCGATCGGCGAGCCCATGCTGTCTTTGCCATACGACTATGATATTTTATAATAATTAATAATAATTTAATATTTACATCGCGCAAATTAACATGTGGATATGATCAAATGCGCATCACAACACTTTTCGGGGGACTTTGGCCGGACTGCATCAGCAGTTTACAAACAATAGAAGGAAACTCATTTGAAGATGCCCCCTCCCCCTCAATTCCCAGTAAACAGGCCAGACCACATCACAGTAATCTCGTGAGTGGGTTCANTTGAGTGTTGGTCCGGCCGGGGCTCGAACCATCGACCTCGACCTCCCACACAACAGTCCAGCGCCCTAGCCAAATGAGCTAACCGGGAGGCTGACTCAGCAAGTACGAAGCAGGGATGCACCTTTGGTCGATCAGCCTGGTGGATGCCTAACAAGCTTGAACTTTTCGAGTCAAAGCAAGGTGGTCGCAGATGCTATTTTAAGTTATACAGCACTTGGCTCTGAAAAGACTACTGAGGCAGTCGTTCGTATCAAGATAACAGACACTGAAACTAGCGATCCGTTGGCATGGCTCTTTGATGGTAACGTCATTTACCAATGTTGCGGGAAAAAACCAGTATCGGCAGAAGAATGGTCTCTTGAGTGCAAGCTTAAAATCAAGCAAAGTTGCTGGCTCCAAAGTTTTCATTACATTCTTAACATTGTGACTTTTGTGCTATTTTTCTATTGGCCGGTGCTGCTTTGTGCTTTCCCAGACTCTATTTTCAGTTTGAAAAAGGAGTATGACAAGAAAGAAAATGCCTCAATCAGCGTGTACGAAATGGGTTCAACCAGTTCTAAGATAGATAAAAAGGGGTCACTCGACAGGTCAGTTTACTTTTTAGACGATGCAAGCCCTATTAAGTGCTCGACTTTCTCTCATGAATACATCACAAATTTTTCATATTCATTTTCCTTCAATGTGAAATTGGCTTTTTTGTCCTACTGCGTGATCGCAATAGTTTTTTACCTTGATTTAGGACTAACCTACAAGAGAAGGGATTTTGATGAACTATCACGCAAATCGCAAGCAATTCTTGGTTGGCAAACAATTTTGTTCACCTTCTGTACCGGCATTAAACTTGGGCTTCCACTCTCATACATTTTGTTGACAATTTTTTTGCGCCCAAAAGATTTTCGGCTCGACCGCAAATGTTGTTGCTTCGGTGAAGAAAGCAATCTTTTTCTTGGAGACTACTTAATAAATCATTTGGAAAAAATGCAAAAGAAAATTTATGAATGCACATTCAAGTTGATTAAAGGCAACAAAAACTTTTTAATAGGATTGTTGAATCACTGTAAGTGCTCGAATAGACAGGAAGGTCATATGAGTGTCAAAAAATGCATAAAAGAAGTTTTTCCTACTCTATACGAATTTATTGCAAATATCTTGGTCATACGAATTTGTGGCATATTTTTGGGAGCTCTGTGTTTCTGTGCCTCTTTTATAGTGTTGTAAATTTTCATAATCATATATTCACCACTTCTCTATCTTTTCACTGCGTTCTTTCGGAAGATCTCTAGAAAACCGTGTTCATGTTAAGCTGCATCTGGGTGGAATTGGCTGATAGGTTGGTATTTTTTGGGAATGTTACTGTTAATTAGCGTCATAGTTGCTTCTTCTTGTCGACTGATTGTGAGAATGTTTAGTTTCATTATTATGGGATTTATATTTAATGCAGAATTTGTAACGCCTTTTGTAACATTCTTACTTGCTGCATTAACAAACATTTACCTTTGCTACTACAACCTACAAATACGCTACCAGGATGTCAAACAAATGATTTCACAAAAGTTGCTGGAACAAAACAGTGACGACAATAATGAAAGGACCGACAAGGATTCGATCCCAGAAGATCTTTTCTGGCTCATTTGTGGTACAGATTCAGAATTAGAGCACAAAGTGTTACCAATTATACCTGAAATCATGCGCATGCTTCGTAACATGGGTCTTATTTTAGTCTTTTTATTTCTTTCTTGGTGCTCCATTATATTTTTAGGGGATACCTATAAAATTTCGTCGGTGGTCTCCACAATACTTGTGTTAGTAACCGGGGTGATTCCTGGATTTTTTTAAGGGTTTAATTAAAAAAAAAAAAACAAAACATTGAGAGGTCTAACAAGGAGAAAGATGTTAACAAAAATTGAAAATGCTGTCAAATATTATTTTAAAAGTGAGAAATGGAAAAGTAAAAGACGCAATTCTTCACCGATATGAAATAAAGAAGTCATATTCGTCAACGTTTGGAGCCTATGCTGATTTTTCCTTGCATCTCTACTCAATTTTTTTTTACAATGCGTTTCGCATCTCCCAAATGAAAATCTTATGTTTTTTTTCGGAAATACGCAGGCGAGAATTTAGAGTTGCATCAAGGAAAAAAACCCAGACAGTTAAAAAGAAAGTTAACAGGACAATTTACAAGCTACACGGTAATATCTTCTGAAAGAAAAAGGGTAATCTCTTCCATTTTCAGCAATTTTCATGGCTTGTTAAAGTGATTTACTTCATTTAATGGTTTTATATCCGACCTGTAATATATCGGATGGAAGCTAATGGGTGCAATGGAGTGGTGGCGTTCTTGAATAAACGGATACTCTGTGTATTCTAATTTGAGTTAAATTGAAGGCAACACATCAAACACGCTTGATGATTGCTTGTTGAATACTTCGTGGAGCAAATCAAAGTACTTGCCTGCGTAGTTACTCTTAGCCTCCTTCAAGCGAATAGATTAAAAGAATCTGTTCGTAATTTTGCCAGTCCTCATCAGTTGGCACTACAGCGCAGCTGAGCATGAGGTTAATCAAGTTGTTTATCATATCGAAACACTCGTGTAAACGATCGCAGTCTCTTGACGCATATGTAAGAAAAAATCGGAAAGAACATTTTTTCAGCCAGTTGTAGACGTTTATAGGCATCGGTTATTAATTACTGTTGGCCATACATATTTGTACAGAGGTGGACATAAATTATAACGTTTATTATTCACTGTAAAAGCATGGTATATATGGCAACAGAAAATAACCATTATTTGATTTTACTAGTGTCATGGTTGTATAGTAAGTGATTTTGTTTGCCTAAACAATAAGGTTTTATATCTCATAAATCCAGTGTGTGTTCCGCAATAAGTCATGAATAAATTCACGATCTGCCCCAGTTGCACTGATATTGGTAGAGATAATTCTATAGACGACCAGTCACTCCGTTTAAAGACACATATAATCGTTAGTTATTAATCACCACTTGGAATACATTCTTGTACAGAGGTAAACATAAATTAGTAAGCTTGTTATTTACTCTAAATGCATGCTATATATGGCTACTGAATAACTTAGGAATACGATGGAATACGATGAATAACTTAGTAAATTTTACAAATGTAAATGTTATATCCTAAATGATCTTTGTTAATGGTCAGCAATATTTCTAATAAAACATTGAAAATTAATGATCTGCCTCATTTTCTCTGATATCGGTAAAGATGATTTTAATACTGAGACCAGATATCACTCCTCCAGGGTAGGCTGGGGGGGAGGGGGGCGCTAAAAATTATTTACGAGTGATGCTTTAATGAAAACCTTGAATTTACAGTGAAGTAGCTGATTCTTTGTCATAGTCAGTCTGAACTAATTACACAACAAGCCACAAATCGACTGTCAGGCCGGTCCAGTCCAGGTTCACTTCGAAGAACACGTAATTTTGACTAGTAAACTTTCGTGCTTAACTAAAAACGTCCAAGTTAATTGTTTATTTCGACTAAGGTGTCATGAATTCAATTAAAGCACCACAGCCCGAGCCTTTCTCAAAGTTCTTTTTTTAACGGAAATCAGTAATCGTTGCAGCTTTCCTCGTGGAAGATTAGAGACAAAAGAACAGCAACTGGGCGAGAGGAATATTTGGAATCTTCGTCATCCAGCCTCATGCCATTGTTACTGTTATTTTATCAAAATAAAAAGCAAATGTACTTCTACTTCAGCTTTATTTTTTAAGCTTACCACAAGGTAACGAAGGTGAAACTGTTATGGCAAGGAAAGAACCGTCTGTGATGAAAAGGCTACAAAAGAAGGGAGAGAACCGTCCTTCTCTAAAGCGTTCTACACTCAAACTTTTTTTCTTCGCACTCTTTCCCCATAGATTTGA